TCAAATACACTGCTTGTGGCTGCATGGTTTCTAGTCAACTTTAATCTTCAAAAATTTAAATGCAATCTCAATCGCTATCTACTGTCCTCCTGATTACAATTACTTCTTCCCACTTATTATTAATGTTTCTGTTCCTAATTCTTCCACGCCCTGTAACCCCCCTTGTGTCTTAGTGGCTTTATTGCCTTGCATGGGGTGAAATCGATTAAAAAAATCTTGGTGAGAGCCATGATCAGCATATCCTAAAATAATGTGTATGCTTAGCTCATCGCTTGAATATTTTCCTTATGGTGGGGGGGGGTGTCGGTAAAGCAGAAGTAAGAATTTGCACAGTAAAATTCGTTCACATAATTTTCACAGGTGGATTACAACTCCCCCAAGAAAATATTTTTGGTGAGGAGTGGCACTCCGCCCGCCAGGACCTACCTTGGTGACGTGTGCGAGTCTGTTGTCTCGTATCCCTATAAATGTTAGTGTATACCGTTAGATTTATTCGTCTATACACCCGAGAAAACTTATTAAAGAAAAATTGCCCTCCGCCAAGATTCGAACCTGCGTTCCTCCCTTTTCAGAAGAAATAAATACCATCTAATATAAAATTATCGCATGTCTTATTAAAAAGTACTTGGTCTGTCTGTCTAGCTATTTCTCTCTCTTTCTCTCTCTCTTTCTCTCTCTCTCTCTTTCTCTCTCTCTCTCTATGTATATATGAGTGTGTGCGTGCGTAGAATCTATGCATATATATATATATATATATATATATATATAAAGAATTATAGTTTAAGGTATGCTATATTTATGGAATAAAGTGCTCAATATCAGAGATAGAGCGTGTGTAAATATAAAAGTGAACATAGAAGTCGACACTTAGAGGCGACAGTCTGTTTCATGCTATATGCAATGTGGCCTGACGATTGCATATAGCATGAAACAGACTGTCGCCTCTAAGTGTTGACTTCTATGTTCACTTTTATATATATATATATATATATATATATATAGATAGATAGATAGATAGATAGATAGATAGAGAGAGAGAGAGAGAGAGAGAGAGAGAGAGAGAGCGAGAGAGAGAGATATGTAGGCAGGAAGTATCAATGCATTGACTAATGTATCATACAAGAAAGGATTGACAGTTATTGGCGGGTGCATTTCGAGAAATAATATGAAAACAACGATGAATAACTTAACAGATAAATTGATTAAACTATTAAAATTTCTTTGGATTTTAAGGAAGCACTTTGTACACATATCTATCTATCTATCTATCTATCTATCTATCTATCTATCTATTCCATTTGTTTAATCAAGTCTGCCTCAAGCAAGGTAGTAAAGTCACTAAGACACAAGGGGTTACTGGGGGTGGAAGAATTAGAAAACAGAAATATTACTAAGGAGTGAGAACAAAAGAAGAGTAATCAGGAGGACAGTAGATAGCGATTGACATTGCATTTAAATTTTTGCAGATTAAAGTTGGCTGGAAAGCATGAAGCCGGAAGGGAGTTCCACAAGCGAGAGATGTGAGAAAAGAAATTGTTAGCATAAAACTTACAATCTATCTATCTATCTATCTATCTATCTATCTATCTATCTATCTATCTATCTATCTTAATCTGTTCACATCTATCTATCTGTCTATCTCTCTCTCTCCCTCTCTCTCTTAGCCTGTTCACATCTATCTCTCTTAGTCTGTTCACATCTATCTATCTATGTATCTATCTATCTATTTTATATTAAGTAAGTTTTATATTTCTGTTTCATTTTGCACAGAATCAGCCGTCCAAATTCATAGAGCACTCTGTGAGGAACGGACTCACTAGCCACTGCTTGCATGTAAAGCCTAAATATTGTACAGTCATACTCCATATTCTATTTTGGAGTATGTTTCTCTCTCTCTCTCTCCTTCTGTCTCTTTCTCTTTCCCTCTATGTGTGTTTGTGTGTGTGCGCGCGTCTATGTGTAAAATATGTCCTTAGAAACAAAGAGAATATTGCCGAATTCTTATGCAACATATGACAACGAATACCGAACAATTCTTTCACAGAATAGACTTAAAGTAAGAGAAATGCAGTTCGACCAACAGTTGCTGAGAAAAACATGGGCTAAACTTGCGAGAAACGTAGGTGTTTAAAATAAAATAAAAACTCCAAGGAAACTCAATCGGAAAGAGACAGTTAATATTTTGGGGATGCATATTAAAGAAAGAAGGCTTGGGGAATCTGACACTCATAGGACGTATTGAAGTCAAGAGAAGCTGAGTAGAAATCACGAGTAAACGAGTTATAAACAAAGGTGGGAAAGTGGCAATTAAAGATACGTACAATAATAGCAGAAGAGAAGAAGCTGTGGAGAGACATGATCCCCCTCCCTATTTCCTGAAAGAACATGACACATAAGGGAAGGAAAAAATGTGTGTGTGTATTTGTAAATAATTCGAATTCGAAGTAAATACACGTGTGTTGTTTGAATGTTTGCGTGTGTGTTTATTCCCTTCTAGTCACGGGACGCACACACACACACACACACACACACACACACACACACACACACACACACACACACACACCACACCCAACTGCCGGCAACAATAGAAGAAAAGTATATAGTTGCTCTCTTGACGCTGCCGTATTTATATTTGCCTGCACCTTGCCTTGGGTTATGACACTCGCAAATCGACGGGGATTTTCCAAGGAAAAATTTTAGCAGCCGCGCCTGACACAATTTCTGTCTCGTTTGCTGCTGCTGCTGCTGCTGCTGTTGTTGCTCTTGATTTCGCTTCAAACGACGAACATTTTAGTTCAACTGGATGACACGGCTCCACTGATAAAGACGTTGTATCCACAAACTGCCCTAAATTGTTTGTGGATACAACGTGTTTATTTATTTTCGATCGTTCCAGAAAAAAAAAACATGCTGTTTACATAAGAAGATATATTCAGAGCAGCCTGTTTCGGTAAAAAAAAAAAAAAAAAAAACTTCGAATCACTTAAAGTAAAGACTAAAAAGAGGTTTGGGTTAAAAAAAAAAACGATTAAAAAACAACAACAGCAACAACAAAAAATACGTATATGCTCGAGATTGTCCTAAATTATCTTCGTATGTATGCAACGTACTTTTTTCTGGAACGATCGAAAATGCCTGTTCTAGATATGCTTATTTTGTATATTTTCCGTTTTTCCTCCATTTTTCGAGTTCTATATTATTATTATTATTATTATTATTATTATTAATTGTATATGTTATGTTTCCTGCTTTGTACCCCATAGAGCCAGGTCCACACTATGGTCCTTAGGCCCTATAGGAGAATTGTCATAATTGATAGCACTTTTCTTAGTATATGGGATTTCTTAGTATATGGGTGATCTTCTGGGCAACTTGTATGTTGATGTTACCTGGGATACTGTTAGTAAAATTGCCCATTCCTTTTCTCACGAGACCCATAGCTCTGATTGCTATTGGTACAGTCACAATCTTCAGTCCCCACATCCTGTTAATCTCGATCTTCAGGTCCTTGTATTTGGTACAATTTCTTAATTATTATTATTATTGTTGTTATTATTTCCTTTGATTTCTGTTGTATACACATTTCCTTCGGGGTACCAACCAGAGACCTAAGGTAAGAAATGTCTTCATGACAATTGCCACTGATCATTTTTTGTAAAAAAACAAAAAACAAACAAACTAAAAAATCACACACATTTTACACATATTTTAGATAAGCTCTACGTAATGTGTGAGCTTTACTTATGAGTACAATTTTTTGTATTTCTTTAAAGCAGGGACTATCAGAAATCTCTTCAATGAGTCTATCGGAACCTTTTCCTATCAATCCGAGGGCTCCAACTATAACTGGTATTACTGATATCTTCATGTGCCAAATTTTTGAGATTTCCACTTCAAAATACTTTTATTTTGATAGCCTTTTAAAGATCTTCAAAGATACAATACAATTTGCAGGGACTGCCGTGTCAATAAGAAATCACATTCCGTTCTTGTGATCTTTGATCACGATGTCTGGGCGATTAGCTTTGATTGTTCTGTGTGTGAGTATTGTAAAGTCTCATAAAATTGTTACAGGTCTTGTCTCTGTAACCGGGTCTGAGTGATGTTCGTACCAGCTGTTTGCAGTTTCCTTCCCGTAAAAGTTGCACATTTTCCAGTGCAGATATTAGCCCATTCTATCATGCCGAGTTTTATATTCAGTGGGTATTAATACTGTGCAATCTGCATATTTATCACAGAATCTACGTTTGGGGTCAACACAATTATTATTATTATTATTTTTATTTTCTTTGATTTCCGGCGTTTACACATTTCTTTCCGTGTTCCGCCCAGGGACCTAAAGTTAGAAATGGCGTCATGACACTTTCACAAAAAAAAAAAAAAAAAAAAAAAAAAAAAAAAAGAAAAATGACATAGATAAAGCCCTTCGTGAAGTGTGGGCTGTACTTGTCAGAACAATTTTTTGTATCTCCTTGAGGCATGGGTTTCCAGGAATCCCTTCAATTAGTCTACTGCAATCTTTTCCAACCATTCCTAGGGCTCCAACTACAACAGGGATTGTTGATGTTCCCATATGCCACATTTTCAAGATTTCTATTTCAAGGTCCTTGTATTTTGACAGCTTTTTGAATATCTTCAAAGATACATTGCAGTCAGCAGGGACTGCCATATCAATAAGGAAGCACTGTTTTTGTCTGTGGTCTTTAATAACAATATCTGGGCGGTTGGCCTTGATTGTTCTGTCAGTGTGTATTGTGTCGTCTCATAGAATTGTAACAGGTCCTATCTCCGTAACCGGGTCTGGGTGGTGTTCATACCAGTTTCTTTCAGTTTCCTTCCTGTAGAAGTTGCAGATTTTCCAGTGCAGATATTGGCCCACTCTGTCATGTCGGGTTTTATATTCAGAATGATACAAGAAATAATAATAATAATAATAATAACTGTTCCTGTTTAAATGTACATGTTGCAATTGTAATTAAGTAGTGCTGTTTAATATTTTATTCATTTAAGAAATATTCGTCCACATCTAGCTGCGTTCGTGGATAATATTTGCAATATGATTTGTTGGACGAATCTGTAAATGAGAGGTGGAGGGAGGAGAGCTATTGCCAAAATAAATCGAAGTGGACTGTAAATGATAGTTGGGAAGAATATACTCCTCTACAATGATGTTAACACTGTATAATACCCGAGAGGCACTCGAGTTAGATGGTTACAAACTAAGAGGCACAGTTTATGCAGATATATGAGGAAGATAACAGTTAACTTTAGACTTGAACAGGCCAAGATTGTAATGATCAGTGAATCATCCTCTTGGAGAGGGGTAGCCAAATCTGGCCCCCGATGTCAGTTCACTCGGCTCGCCGCTTCACTACACCACGAATGAGCTAAAATATAATTATTTATATGGAAATCAATAAATTGCAGTTAAACTTACTATGTAGAATAGATTAAAATAAATATAAGTATTAGCTTGGTGCAAAAATAATGACGTAATAATGTCGTTTTTTGACGTATTTTTTAACGTCAAAAAACGACATTATTACGTCATTAATTTTGCACCAACCTAATAGAATACCAAAATTTTCCCAACCTGATTTTTGCATCTGACAGTCAGTCAGTTATGTGTCATACGTGATACACGCTTAGGCGATCATATATCTTTCGATACATGACTGACGAGGCAGCTTTTTGACAGCAGTAGGTTATCATTTATTTCTGCGGTAGACCAGTTGCTATCAAGGCTATAGAACCCGGTCTGTCTTACTATTTACCCATAGCTGGGGGGGGGAGAGAAGAGAATTCATACCTTTCCCAAGGGTATTAGCACGTAAGTGAATGTAATGAATTCGACTGAAATTCGAACTTGGTTCTCCGATTCCTCAATCCAAGCTGCTATCCATTACTCCACCGTGTCTAGGAAAATCAGTGGAATAAAAAAATCGGCAACTTTTTTTGCAACTTTTATATCCGAGCGTTTTTGTGTAAGTGCTTGCCATGAAGTTTCTAAGAAAAGCGATTACGGGCCTGTTGCAGCAATTACATGGTAATGTAAGTTAAAACTTACATTACCGTGTTTAAACCGGTTTGAAGAGTGTCGTATATAAAAAGGATTGACTTCGGCGAATTATGTCATATATTTTGCCTGAACTTATAAAATCTAGATTATGTAAAGTCAACACATGTAACGAGGTTGAGTGATGAACATTTGAAAGCATTTCTCTTGGTTGGATGCAGCAATACCAAAACAAATATTAATTATATCTTAAAATGTAAACGCCAGTTTCACAAATCTCACTAAACATTTTGTGCCGCTTAATTTATGAGATTCGGATATGTGCGCATTTGGTGTGATATAACTATTTTATTGCTATTGTCGTCTTCTTTGATAACTTTTTAGTAAATAAGTATGTTGTCTTTATTTTTTTGCGCATTATTAAACATTTTTTGCGTTTATTAAACCAGTAGCGTAGTTCTTTTTGGCAAAGGAAGTTTCTTGGACAAAATCCGTTGCTTATGTCAGGTGACTATCAGGAGTATCTGCAACAATTCGGTATCAAATGTGTCTGTACCACTTGAGTATCAAAAGCACAACTACCACATGACACTCAAAGATTGCATGTACCATCTGACGATCGAAAGTACATGTACACTTGACTATCAAAAATACAGCTACCACTTCAGTATCAACAAGAATGAAGCACTTGACTGTCAATGGTAAACATACCACAAGACTATTAAAAGTGCATGTACTATATAAATATCAAATATGCATGTACAACTTAACCATCAGAAGTACAGGTACCACGTAACTCTGAAAGATTGTATGCCTAGCGAAAGTACTTGTATCATTTCATTGTCAAAAGTGCAGGTACTAGTTGACTATAAGAGATTACTGATTACAGTTTTAATACTTCTACCAAATTAATTTTTTTTAATATAGTCAGCTGGTACAAAACCTAAAAGACACTCGAGGTAGAGTGATGCGGAATGAGGTTGTTTTACGAAGGTGAGAGGAGGAGTAAAACCTGCAGGAAAGTTAACGGTTAACCTTTGAATTGAAGAGCTTATTAATTGTAGCGATCGAGGGAACATTCTCCTAGGAGTTTGTTCCACAAAGTAATGGTTTTTGGAAAGAAGCTGTCCGAATGGAACTTCTTCCTTACTAATGGAATACAAAGAGAATGTGGATGATTCGTGTCATTGCATGGCGGGTCTTGGCTTAGATCCTATTTTCCACGCCAATAACGGCTACGCTGCACTCGTCCATATATTTTTTAAAAATTTTTATTGATTTTATTTTCATTTCATATAATAATAATAATAATAATAATAATAATAATAATAATAATAACAACAACAACAACAACAATAATAATAATAATAATAATAATATCATAAAAGACAAGACATTCAGGAAGTGTATGCTTATTGACAAAGCAGGATCATCTGAGAGAAACGCCTCTATGAAAATTATCGAGAAATTGTCTAAATACAAGGACCTGGAGATTGAGATTAACAGGATGTAGGAAATGAAAACTGAGACTGTACCAATAGTAATCGGAGCACTGGGCCTCGTGAGAAAAGAAATGGACAATTTTACGAACAGTGTCCCAGATAAAATCAACTTACAAGTAGCCCAGAAGATCGCCCTACTAAGACCATCCCACATACTAAGAAGAGTGCTATCAATTAAATGACAATTTTACTATAAGGCCTAATGACCATAGATTGGACCCGGCTCTTCAGGATGCAAAGCAGGAGATATGACATAACATACACAAATAATAATAATAATAATAATAATAATAATAATAATAACGGCTGAGCCTGCAAAATAGTTAAAAAAGAAAGCAAAGACAAATGCAACCGACCAGATACAGAAGCGATGGCAAGATAAACCGCTACATGCCCGTACCAAACAAGCTGACGTAGACAAAACCCGTACCCATCAGTCTCTACGTAGTGCAGGGTTGAAAGTTGAAACTGAAGGTTTTATCCTTGCTGCACAGGAACAATGCTTGTTAACTAAGAATTATCAAGCACATATACTAAAATATTGTGTCAGCACAAAATTCTGTGATAAATATCCAGAAACGATTGACCATCTTGTATCAGGTTGCACGATATTGGCACCCACTGAATATAAAACCCGGCATGACAGAGTAGGCCAATATCTACACAGGAAAATTTGCAACTTCTACGGGAAGGAAACTGAAAGAAACTGGTATGAACACCACCCAGACCCGGTTACGGAGATAGGACCTGTTACAATTCTATGGGACTACACAATACACACTGACAGAACAATCAAAGCCAACCGCCCAGACATTGTTATTAAAACCCACAAACAAAAACGGTGCTTCCTTATTGATATGGCAGTCCCTGAAGACTGCAATGTATTTTTGAAGATATTCAAAAAGCTGTCAAAATACAAGGACCTTGAAATAGAAAATCTCGAAAATGTGGCATATGGGAACATCAACAATCCCTGTTGTAGTTGGATTCCTAGGATTGGTTGGAAAAGATTCCAGTAGATTAATCGAAGGGATTCCTGAAAATCCATGCCTCAAAGAGATACAAAAAATTGTTCTGACAAGTACAGCCCACACTTTACGAAGGGCTTTGTCTATGTAATTTTTTTTTTCAGTGGAAAGTGTCATGATGCCATTTCTAACCTCAGATCCCTGGGCGGCACCTGGAAAGAAATGTGTAAACGCCAGTAATCAAAGAAAATAATAATAATAATAATAATAATAATAATAATAAGACGAAGAAGAAGAAGAAGAAGATGAAGGGTTTATTCTTGCTGCACAGGACTAAAGTTTGCTAAATAGAAATTACCAATAGTATTACATTGTGAAAAATTGTTAACCCGAAATTCAGATTCTGTGATAAATATCCGGAAAGAGATAACCATCTTGTATCAGGTTGCACGGTGTTAGCACCATCTGAATATAGAACTCAGCATGATAGAAAAGATCAATATATGCACTGGAAAATATGCAACTTTTATGAGAAGGAAACTGCAAGAAATTGGTATGAACATCACCCAGACCCGGTTACGGAGATAGGACCTATAACAATTTTATGGGTCTTTGCAATACACACAGAGAGTTCAATCAAAGTTAATTGCCCAAACATCGCAATCAAAGATCACAAAAAAACAGAAAGTTCTTTCTTATTAATATGACAGTTCCTGCAGATTGTAATGTATCTTTAAAGATCTTCAAAACACTACCAAAATACAAGGTTCTTGAAGTGGAAATCTCAAACGAGGACATCAGTAATCCCAGTAGTAGTCGGAGTCTTAGAATTGATTGGAAATGGTTCCGATAGACTCATTGAAGGGATTCCTGGTAAAGCATGCCTGTAAAGAAATATAGAAAATTGCACTCACAATACAGCTCACACATTACGAAGAGCTTTATCTATGTAAAATGTGTGTGATCTTAGATTTTTTTTACAAAAATAATTAGTGGAAAATGTCATGAAGCCATTTCTGACCTTAGGTCTCTGGTTGGGACCAAGGAGGAATTGTGAATACAACAGAAATCAACGGAAATAATAATAATAATAATAATAATAATAATAATAATAATAATAATAATAATGAATAATAATGTGCCCCAAGGCTCCATCCTTGGCCCCACTCTTTTCCTTATTTTCATCAATGACCTTCCTGAAGCTATAGATTCCCAAGTCGGCATCTATGCAGACGACACTACAATTTATTCCTGCCTCAAAAACAAATCTAGTGTCGGCGACAAAACTAACCTTGCCGTGCGTCTTGAAATGGACCTCCAATCGGTTGTTAACTGGGGCAAGAATTGGCTGGTCAACTTTAACGCCACAAAAACTAAATTACTCTCCATTAACCACGATAGAGATCCTTCCCTGCCCCCCATTAAAATGTCTGATAGTCAACTTCCTGAGAGCAACTCCCTGCATCTGCTCGGTCTCACGCTGACTGCTGACCTGAAATGGAACAAATACATTGAGTCAATTGCTTCTTCCACCGCGAGGAAAGTTGGCTCTCTGTGCCGCGCCAGGAAATTTTTCTCCCCTGAATCGATACTTCAAATATACAAAACCACCATTCGCCCTTGCATGGAGTATTGCTGCCATATATGGGCTGGAGCACCTTCTGCTTACCTCGGAGTTCTTGACAAGATCCAGAGAAGGATATGTAATCTAATTGGCCCTTATCTAGCGTCTTGTTTGCAGTCACTCTCTCACAGACGCGCCGTCGCCTCTCTCTGTCTTTTCTTACAAATACATCCATGGTAACTGCTCTGATGAGCTGCTCTCTCTCTCTGGTTCCCAGACTCCATGAATTCAAGCGCCCTACGAGGCTGGCATCCCGCTCTCACCCTTACACCGTAGAAACCTTCAAATGTAGCCGTCTCTTCTACTCCAATAGCTTCATAACTTGCACCTCTCGCCAGTGGAACACCCTCCCCAATTACTGTTTCCCTGAGAGCTATAATCTCCAACTATTCAAATATAATGTCAATCGACATCTCCAATTACCTTGATCTACCCACCATCCTTCTCCTCTTCCTTTCTCCTATCACTCTTATCTGCTCTCGCTCCAAATCTTCCGCAACCCCCTGCATCCTAGTGGCTTCACGCCTTGCTTGGGGCATAAAAAAAAAAAAAAAAAAAAAATAATAATAATAATGTATAATAATAATAATAATGAATAATATGCATAATATTTGATACATTCTTTTCCGGTGCGGGGGTGACTCGCTTTAACGGTTATACAAGACGCTAATTTGGATGAATACAAGCTTTCAGGTCTGTATAAAATACCAGAATGTAACCAACGAACTCTTGCCTATCAGCACATGATTCTCAACCCCAGAGACGACAGTCTGTTTCATGCAATGGTCATGGCCTGATGATTGCGTTTAGCATGAATCACACTGTCGTGTTGACTTCAATGTCCCCGTTTATATTTACACACGTTCTATCCCTGATAATGAGCACTATAACCCATAAAATATAACATACCTTTAAACTATATTTTGTCAGATATACAGGGTGCGATAGATAAATTGACGTCTAAATGATACAAAAATGAAAATAACACTGACATCTCATTTTAACAGATATATTTAGTAAAATTACACAAACAATATCTTGAAATACTAAAGCGTAAATTTATTCAATAAAATCGCCATTGGCTTCAAACACGGCCTCCAGACAACTTCGGAATCTCCTGCAACTCCTTTGTTTAAGTTCTTGAATGCTGCCATAATCCTTGCTTTCAGTTCATCTTTGGTGTTACAAAGAGTTTTATTAGTCTCTCACTCAACTGCACACCATACATAATAATCAAGGGGGTGCAGTCTAGGGAGTTAGGTGGCCACATGTAAGGAGTGATGCGATCCAAGAAATTGTCTGACAGCCCTGACTGGGTTCTCTTGCTTGTGTGGCATAGTGCAGAGTCTTACTGCCAGACACAAGGCCTTCTAGCACTCACCTTCTTGACCCAGGGCAGCACTGCCTCCTCAAAATACTTGATATATGCCTCCGTGTTGAGTCTGAGGGCCTTACCACCAAATCCAGGGGTTCTTTTCTTATCAGAACGATCAGAGTGGGCTTTCCGAGCTGCCGTACCTTTGTAATCACCATTAGAATCATCCAACTCTTTCTGAATCCTCTACACTGTCCTCAGATTGACACCCAAACACTCTGAAATGTTCGTATTGGAGCTTCTGACGCGAATGCCAAGCAGTACAGCATGCCGTTTCTAAATTTCTGGCGGCGTGAGTTGCGTCATATTGCTCTTTTTCTCATACAAGCTGCCCAACTGACCCTACTATACTGTGAAGTCGATAAAATCAAAAACAAACAACGTGCATGCACACACAAAAAAAATGGCGACAATTTGCCCATCGCACCCTGTTAGATAGATAGATAGACAAATAGATATGAATCAATGAATGAACGAGATAGATAGATAGATAGATAGATAGATAGATATGAATCAATGAACGAGATAGATAGACAGATAGATATGAATGAACGAGATAGATAGATAGATAGATAGATAGATAGATATGAATGAATGAATGAACGAGAAAGATATATAGATAGATAGACAGACAGATACATAGATATGAATCAATGAATGAACAAGATAGATAGATAGATAGATAGATATGAATGAACGAGATAGATAGATAGATAGATAGATAGATAGATAGATAGATATGAAGGAATGAAGGAATAAACTATATATATATATATATATATATATATATATATATATATATATATATATATATATATTTACACTATTAATATTCGGACTATTGTCCTCATCTTTGTTATTCTTATCACAACGTTTCGGCCGCTGTGCCCTCTAGTCTTCCTCAGTTCGATATACAACTAAGGAAGCCGGGAGGGCTCAACGGCCGAAAAGATGAGGATATTTGTCCGAATACAAATAGTGTAAATATTGAAGTAATTGTTCTTTTTTTTTCTCTTGAATTTCGAACTATCTTTTCATTTTTTTTCTCTCGATAAGATATGGCATGGTCATAGCCACTTCTTGACAGTTGAGGGACAAGTCCTGTCACGTGTTGCGGAGAAATTGACTGAGAAACGAAAGCCTTGATCAAATCCATCGGGCCACTGATGCGTATCTCGTGGAGTCACCTGTAAAATACATCCCGCCCTCTAATTATCAAATAAGCGTTCTCCCTCTCTACGCTTGGTGACACTTATAGATACGCGCACAAAACTAAGTGCTAGAGTAATGGCGCTGGGGGTGGTGGTGATTTTTAACCTTCTGCGCTCTGAACTTCAAATAACATGTGTCACTGACCTGTGAACGAGGCTGAGATATAAATCTTTCCAACCTGTAGTTACACGCTTTAAAACGAATGGAAGCGTATCAAAAGCATGCTTTTGCGAATTATTCGGACTACAGTCCAATTTTGTATGATTTTTTTTTTTTTTTTACAAAAATCACGTTTCGGTTTAAGTGCTGTCTTCGTCAGTTGTGAAGTATCAGAAAGAGCATGGAACAAATGAATCTCACCTTGCTTTCGAAATTAGAACTATTAACAAGTCTAAAGCACTTAAATCATTAGTATATATATAAAAAAAACAAAAACAAAAAAGAAAAACAGTGCTGAACATGTAAGAATATCGAAATTCTCTACACCTGTTCAAATTCTTATCTCTCAAAGTGTCCTGGGTATGATGATAAACTACATCCGGCAGCAAGGCCTCTGATGGGGAGATTTGATGAGCGTGGAACCACTTTTTAATTGCTGTTGTTCCCTGGTCTACCCTTACCCGGGGTGGTAGCACCTGTTAGAGTCCCAGCTATTGGTAAATAGTTAACCCCCAAACTCGGGTCAAAACACTCCGAATGCTTAAAAATAGGTCTTTATAGTGAAATTACCAGCAATACATTTTAAAAAAAAAGCAATATTACCAGCAATACATTTTTGAAAAAAAAATTACCAACATTATATTTTTGGAAACAATATTACCAGCAATACATTTGACTCTCGATAAAAATGCTCTTTGCGAAAATATGTCAATGAAACCTGATCTACAAACTGGTTCTTACAAAGAATTCTTATTCTATTCGTACGAATCTATTCCCAAAATCTTGCCGGTATTAAATAACCCATTGAGGTTGAGATGCCGTAACAGAAAATAAACTAAAAACGTATGTCTCAAAAATTTGCTAATGACTTATGTTATAATCTTCGTATAAGCGCGTAGTTCTGGTTAATAATATTCCAAGGAAGACACTCAAACGAACGGTTAGTGAAAGAAACTGTTTAATCACAGTGATTAATAATACAATATTAACGAATAATGTATTTTAGTGCAGCATTGCGTGTGGCACACTTTGCGACTCATATTGCGACTCCATTCCTAATGAGTGGACGAGTCTATTTTCAACAATTTAGTTGGTCTGCCGTTATACACAATTTATTTGTTAGAACGTCCGAGTTCGCCTCTGGGTCATTGACAGCTTTTTTGAACGAGAGAAATAAAAACTGCGCTGAAGACTTCTCATCAGCGGTGGATCGCAATTACACAAAATGTAAGGTTAAGGGCGATCCCTGACGACTGAAGCGAAGACCAGTGCTACATTTTTGCCTGCAAATGTGGACTAACATTTTAAAAAAAAAAGTCTCTTGTCAATTTTTGTCCTCTTGTCCAACTAAATATCCAGCATCATTTACTCATTGGCACTTTTCCACTCAAACTGGTACAGCGCCAATTTCTCTTACTTCTGTATATAAACGCAAGCAGGGCGAAAATGACTTAAGGTATCTGCTTGTTGTGAATCCGTATTTCAGGCAGTTCTTTATTGCGCTAAAAGCAAGTAAATACTCTCTCAATACATCACCCGGTAAAAACAATTTATTTTTTTGCTAATTGGTCAATCAATACTAGATCCAAGAGCCACTCAAGGTAGAGCGTGAGCGATCGTTGGCGAAGTCTTCCCGAATTTCACTCTCCATGTCCATTGCCCACATGTCCCTTTTGTAGACGTCCTAGAAAAGAAAATAAGGTCGCCTTCGAGTCCTCTTGCCAGTGGCTAGTTCCCCGTACAAAAGGACCTTCGGAATCCTCCCATCTGTATAATAAATGTGAATGTCAGTTTGTCACTGTGTCACACTATTTCAATTAAAGTTACACAGCTTTCTAACTTTCAATAGCTCATGTTACAGAAATTTTGAATTTCCAAGTTTTTATTACAACGATTGTTTTCGGCGATTGTTTTTTACGTGATTTTTTGAAGCGAATTTTTTGTACGATAAAAATTTCTATAACTTGGAAATAAATTTGGGAATAAACGAAATTAATTGCGAAATCCAGCGACAGTCACCCATGAAATAAAAATAATTGTTTGCGCGGAAAGTAAGGACCTACGTACATTAAATTGTTTTTAAATTAAGTGGCGGCAGAAGAATTAGCTTTGAATTTTTAAATGGTAAACTTAAATATTAATGCAATAAAATGCAGTGATCACTTTTGGGTTCTTCTCTAGTTTATTGTTTCCTATCGCATACGACAGCATTATTCCTCGCAAAAAGAAATCTTCGCCAACAGAAGACCAGATTGCAATCAAAAGAAAGTCTCGTGCAAATGAAAACACAGATCAAACGGCAGCCAGGAGAGCTTTCAATGCTGAGAATATGCAATGACTTAGGGAGTCTTAAACTTCTGAACAAGCCGAAGTTTCAATTAAGAGTCCTCCGTAGGAGCTAGCTTAAATGCCGCCCGATAGGTCGGCTTTAAGCTAGCCCTAAATAAATAATACTGTATGATAAAAAAAAAAAAAACTAAAGGAAATTATTAATTATTACTATCACTGCTTGCAAAACATTTTGAACATCATTCAGAAATGCAATAGATAAAGTTTTGTCATTTCATCGCCTCGTTTTCAGCCTCTCAAATGATTGATCTTTAACACAATGAAAAGAAACAGCTCCGTGCTAATTAGGTGGAACTTAAGCCGGGCATGTAGATAATTTTCTTTAAGGTGGATCACATATTTTAGAAGAATCATGCACGTTGATCACATACTTAAGTAGCAGCATCTTTACTTTGTTCAGAAGATCCATAACATACGCACAAGAACACACATACACTGATTCATACGTTGCATAAAAAAAAAAACACTCACAATACGCATACAAGCATAAACATATCCGCTTGCACGTTGACGCTTACACATACGCACACATAAACACACAGGCAAGCAAAGCCGTGAAACTGATAAGAGTTACACTCACTAACAAATGTTTACGATCACCTTGTAATTTTACTATCTAAAGAGAAACAAAAAACGACAGAGTAACAAGTAATTTGCGAGAGACTGACTTAATTTTGCTCACATTTTTGTAAATGACGAAGTTCTCTGTTCATTTTGATCAATATAGTCCAGAGGTCAGTATTTTGTGTGACCTTTATTGCTTTTAATTACTGCGTAGATGCGGCGGGGCCTGCTGGGAGTCAAGTTGTTGCAGTAGTCAACCAATTTTCCCTTTGTTCTTTAATAGCCTCTCTCAGTGCAAAGGTTGCTTTTCTGTGACGTTGTTTTTGATAATTTCTCATAAATTTTCAATCGTGTTCAGATCTGGGTTGTCCTCCGGCCAGTCCAGTGTTGTCACCCGGATCCCGTTCAAAACATTCTGAACGACCTTTGACCGGTGACACAGAGAAGCATATCAGACATAAATATCGTGCACTGATGAATGTGCATATGCAGTTCTAGTTTCTCCTGAAGTACTTCCACATGCCTTGCACCATTCATCGCTGTACCTGGGGCCAAGAACTAGAGTTCAGCTGTTCCAAATCATCTAGCCTGGTGGGTGCTGCTTAGTCTGTGTGTTATATTTTTCATTAAATCTCTTATCAGGTCTAATGTTTTTTTATTCTATTTTTTTTTTATGCAAAACGATCTGTTGCAGAGTAGGTTCGTCTGAAAAACATAACTTTACTTCACTCTTCTGTTATCTAAGTGTCATATTGCTCAGTAAATTTCAGATGCTTGAATTTCATAGCTGCAGTTAGCCGTAGTTTACAAGCCAGTCTGAATGATTTCAAACCAAATTCAAATCTCAGATGACGTGAAATTTTCAGAGAACTGAAATCTGTACGATTTTGAAGCTGAGCATCATGATTTTCTTACAAGAACTTGTTGGGGATTATGTAGCTTCATCAAATGATCATCTATACCACTGTTTTTTTTTTTTCTTTAAAGTCAACTTCTCCGGCTACGGGACTTACGCACATGCCTCTTAAGGCGCATTACGGAGTCCGGCCTCGTAAAAAGGCCTTCTACGGGACTTCGCACATGCCTCTAAAGGCGCATTACGGAGTCCGACTAAGGTAAATTTAACGATTCTACGGGACTTACGCACATGCCTCTTAAGGCGCATTACGGGAGTCCGGCTACGGCAAACGAAGGCCTTCGACGGGACTTACGCACATGCCTCGTAAAGCGCATTACGGGAGTCCGGCTACGGTAAACGAAGGCCTTCAACGAACTTAGGCATTTAACGATTCGACGGGACTTACGCACATGCCTCGTAAGGCGTATTACGGGAGTCCGGCTACGGCAAACGAAGGCCTTCGACGAACTTACGCACATGCCTCGTAAATCGCATTACGCACGTCAGGCTACGGTAAACGAAGGCCTTCAACGAACTTAGGCATTTAACGATTCGACGGGACTTACGCACATGCCTCGTAAGGTGCATTACGGGAGTCCGGCTACGGTAAACGAAGGCCTTCGACGAACTTAGGGACTTTGAGCTTGTGGTCCCATGACCACTGTCTTAGGGCGACGCAAGTCCGGGGAGTCCAAACGAATGCCTTCGACGAACGAAGGCATTTAACGATTCTACGGGATTTACGCACATGCCTCTTAAGGCGCATTACGGGAGTCCGGCTACGGTAAACGAAGGCCTTCACGGACTTACGCACATGAAGGCGCATTACGGGAGTTTAAACGAGGCCTTCGACTGGACTTACGCACATGCCTCGTAAGGTGCATTACGGGAGTCCGGCTACGGCAAACGAAGGTCTTCGACGAACTTAGGCACTACTTTGAGCTTGTGGTCCCATGACCACTGTCCAGGCACGACGCACGTCCGGCTACGGCAAACGAATGCCTTCGACGAACTTAGGCATTTAACGATTCTACGGGACTTACGCACATGCCTCTTAAGGCGCATTACGGCAAATGACATTGAATTTTGGAAATTCCCGGTGTGCACAGCTGTTTTGCTAAAACCTAATTTTACGTTAATCTGACATGCTCGATCACATGCCTTCATCGCATAGAACCGCAGTTTGGACGCTTTATGCAGGTAAAAGTGAAGATTCTTTGCCCATATTCTAATACTACACAAATGAAGGTTGAGTATCCTTTATCCGGAATTTCCAAATCCGAAAACCTCCAAAATCCGAAAGTTTTTCAGGTGCTGACATGACTTGCCACAAATGGACAATTTCAGAAAGCCCAGCTACGTAGTCTACGTTGCCGCCATTTTTTTATTTATTTATTTATTTTTTGGTAGCGATTGTCACAGCAACACCATCGTTCGTTGGTTACGTGCTCAGTAAAGATATTCAAAATGTCCAGAAGCTTTTATATATATTTGTAAGTAGCGATCGTGTTCTTTTGTACACGTACAGAAAATACAAAACATCATTTTTACGTGAAATCTTAATTTCATCATTTAAAAATCCGTGTTAGCATTACATGACTAAAGCCATTACCTGTATCTGCATGTAGACAAAATTTATTAAATTTTATATAAAACTACCTTCAGGGTATATGCATGAGCTGTGTTAGGAAATGTAGTGGGATATCGTGTTTATTTTTGGGTTTCATTCCCAAGGTATCCCATAGATGTTATATACAAATTAAATAGTCTGTATTTCAAAATCCGAAAAAAATCTGAAAACCTAGGCACTTCTGGTCCCAGGAATTTCGGAAAATGGATTCTGAATCTGTACTATCAAAATAAATGATAATTTGGCAATGACCAAAAATGTTTCGACCATAAATCCTGTAATCTCATATGATATAAGGTAATACAAAATAATGAAAATATTCTTTTTGCATCTAAGTGGTCTTAAACTTTTGTTAATGGCTGCAATGGCTGGCCGTTCGTTTTCTGCAACAGTGATTACAGTAACCGCTCTAATAGACAGACATACTCGGATACTCGTCAGATCAGTTGACATGAAAATCTTCTGGCATAACACAGTGACCCAACATTCCTTACAGTGTATGTAGCTATTGGCTCGATGTAGTTGCCCCACTTCAAGTCAGTTGAAAATTTGAGGCAAATAAGGCGCTGTGTGATGCTCACTAGGAGTCTACTGATGACAGACTGTTATAGAGTGATTTCACAGTTGAGGCTTGTATTTGTACTAAGTCGATCCTAAAATAGGTTCGACGTACAAAATGTTAGGAACTTGATATAATAGGTATAACGCATAGAAATCTAGTTGTGGTCGCTGATACTTTAGTATCCGACTAACGGTCGTCCGACATCGACCGACCCTCTGAGCGCCTCCCACGTTACTCTTACTACTCCTACTTATTATAGATGGGAGAGTCTATTAACTATAGAATAAGTGTGTTCCACTATAAAACAGACAGAAAAGTCTCTCTATGGTCGTTAAATAAGAGTAGTTTTGCCTTAGAGGCGTTAAAATTTACAAGCTATTTCCTCTCTCAGTTAATCATTGATTGGAGGTCTTTTTCTCGAGCGTGTTTATTTTGTCAGCTCTGACGGATTTGAATTGTGCCAGTAGTAAATGGTAGTGTTTTCTGCATAAAGGCCTACTTGGAAACTGATGACACCAGGAGGATCCTTGATGAAGATCAGAAACTGCGTAGGACCCAGTATAGAGCTTTGGGGGCACCCGCGTTCGAGTGAAAGGAATTGGAAGCGAGCCCGTTCAAAACAACCTTCATGTCACGATTTGATAGGGAAGATTCGATTAAATCAAACAATCGTCCTTTAATACTATAGCCCTGGAGATTACGTAGTAGACCAGCGTGTCAAACTCTGTCAAACGTCTTCGAGATATCTAGAGCCATAACTCAAGTTTCGCCGTCATTACCAAGAGCTTGATGTACATATTCAGTGATGCCAGTTAGCACATCAGCGGTAGACCTGGCGAAACGGAAGCCATATTGTTTTTCCGGGAAGTGGTTGTGAGAGGTAAAACGCTTAGCCAATTCAACATTGATTAGAGCATCGAATCCTTTGTGGAAAAGTGGTAAGAGACTAATAGGGCGATTATTTGAGGGGTCAGATGGTTCTCCAGATTTCTTAAAACAGGAACTACAGAGGAGAACTTCCAACAAGCTGAAAAGCAGATAACAGCGAAGCAGTTGTTATTGTGCTCTTGTTCAGCACACACTTGAAGAGCCACCAATAATTTCTAGCACCGAACTTGTGAGGGACTATACGTTGTTTTATTCTATCAGTAAACAGTAACTTCGATTCTTTGAGGAAAGACTTGCACTCATTACGAGCAGAGACAAAGAGACGTCTGTTGCAATCAGACATGTCACTCTGGTACACCCGGACTCGTATTTACCATCCTCTTTTAAAACACAGTTAAACCTCTGTACGTGTTTGATGCTGACATATATAATTCACTTTTTCTCTAGTCGACGACCTTTGTAATAACTGATGCAAAAACTTCCAAGACTATCTTTTGCAAAAGGAGTCTTTGATGTTTATTCTGTAGTTGGTGCACGCAGTTAACAAAAACTGAGTGTACAAATTTGGATGAAGTTGTCCAATAAGCAAGACGGCCAAAAATAATCGCATGTTCCGTTCACAGATGCACTTCTGTATTTCTCCATTGTAAACAGTAATTATTTTGGTTACTGTTGCCTTTCTATCAGCTTGAACCAGTCTGACCATTCTCCTCATGCCTCTTTCACCAATAAGTGATTTCCGTCCAGAGAAATGCTGTTTATTGGACATTTTTTTTTATCACTGTCTGTAAATAGTAAAGATGTCAGTAGATCATCAGTTTTTAAATACTCAGAAGAGCTCGTTTGGCATCAACGACAACGCCGTATTCAAAATCACAGTCACTTTTCGTTTCCGTAATACTGAACGAAATAAAATTCAGCAGGTGGCCATGACCATATATTAATGCCTATATCAATTAAAATGCTGTCACATCATTGGTTGATTAGACATTGATATAAAATAGCATTTGTTCATGTGTTATTAATAAATTGGCCAGAGTATATTAAGAAAGGTTTTCGTCCCTATATACTATGGCGAGAGACGTGTGTGGGTCTTGGCAAAGATAATCCTTCAATGAACCTTGTCGACTGGCGCTACAGAATCGCAAACAAACAACTGTACTGGACAACAGAAATTTCAGAAGTAGCAACAACTAAAATGGAGATCACATGTAACACGAAGAGAAAATAATGACATAATCAAGATCCTGACATTCCGCATTACAACAAAAGGTTAGGAAGGAAACCTCCATCAATACTGGAAAGAGCGATAACAGCTAGTGGTCTTGAAAAATCTATTTTCCTAAAAAAAATGTTTATGGAGAAAGAGTTTATAAATTTCAACAGCCAGCAGTATTGGCTGCTCGGTTAATGAATGCTGAATTTTTCCTTATAAGGAAACGGCTAATATTACCATATTACCATTATACATTTAGATCAAACTAATGTACTAAATTACGGCGTAAAAATCTATCTGAAGATTTTTAGCTCAAAATTCTGAGTTAGGCCTAGACCTACTCTATAGTTCAACCTTCAAAAATACAGTTGGCTACCAGTGGCCTAAACTTATGCCGACCGGGAAATTAAGTTAGGCTGGAATATATAATAATCTGTGCCAAGACTACATACGAGCTCATCACTTACCTGTATATTGAGACTTTATCTGTAATATCTTTCTATATGCGTTGTATCACAACCTACAGCACACACTGGTAGGTACTGTATATTGTATTGGTATAACTTACCGAACATTTAAATTCGCCATGTCTACTGATAAACACATTAAAGTCAACATCAACTATAAAATATTAATACCGCAGACTACGCATCTTACCAGGAATTTTTTTTTTTATTGTACTGCTATGTATTGTATGTTATTGTAAAAGTCACTATCAATCATCGGCTATTTGCAACTGTGACGTAAACAAACAACCAGTGATGCCACCACTTAGAATATCAGCTGGTGGTCGTGATGGGTCTGGAATTAGTGATCTCATTAAAAGTGAGAATTTGGAAAATATATAACATAAATTATGGTTTACAAGTCAACTTGGCATACAAATTGACCTCAATTTTTTGACTCAAAATTCTTATTTAGGCCTATATTCAACCCCCCAATTCTATATATTCAATAAACTGTCATTATTTATCATTAAACCGTCATTACTATCATAAAATTGTGCAAATCTCATACATACCAAACTTAGTTGTTTCAATGCCACCAGAGTTAAATGGTGTTTAGGTCAATGTTTACATTTAGTGTATCAGCTGTTAGTCACGATGTGTGCTGTAGCATTAATAGAATACTGGATTTGTGTTACTATTTTATTATTTTATATTCATTTCTGTGTTAATATACCAAATATGTTCACCAAAGACAAGTTTTAGTTGGATATATTTGTGGTATCCTCCTGGAGGTACAGAAATGGTTTACAGTAATTGTTAGGAGTACTGTTCCACTTGTTTACAATTCGGTGATAAAGGTTTGCGTTTTATAGAAATTATTCATCGGAAATATTTTTTAGGCTTGAAAACCCGGCTTTTATACGCTGCAATTTACGGTATGTGCCTGGTTCATAGTTTTCGGTCTTAAAATGAATATACATCTGCAAGCATTGGTACGAAGCGTATTAAAATACCTATGCGTATGTTTTTAGCGCAAATGTGTGAGCATGAGAGTTATTTGTTAATGTCAGTGGAAGGTGGACTTGACGTCATCGCTTGTAAATTAGACCTTTTGATCTTTTGAAAAAAATACGATAAATGTCACATCTTCACACACATTGTATGACACTTCAATATTCGTGACAAAGCATTTCACTTCTGGATCCCCAAGTGTACTTTTTATTTTAGACTCACAACTTACAAACAGACGCACCCCCCCACACACACGCACATAGATAAATAAACAGATAACCTAGTAAAGAGAGTAGACAATAACTTTAAAAAAAGATTAACTTA